GGGGGTGCTCGGCCGGGGGCCGGGCCCAGGGCTGGCACCCCAGGGCCCGAGCCGACCCAGGCTGGAGACGCCGGGGGGGCCAGACTGGGCCGCGCCTCCTCCCCCCACACTCCCCTTACCTGCTTCAGGCTTCCCACGAATCAAATGTTCGCGGGAAGCAGGGGAGGGGGCGGGGACTTTGGGGAAGGGGCGGAGTTGGGGTGTGGGGGGCGTGGGCGGGGCTGGGGGCGGGGCCGGGGCCCCGTGGAGTGTCCTCCTTTTGGAGGCTCGAAATATGGTAACCCTAGATAACATGAAATTTACGATTTTTAAAATTCTATGACCGTGAAATTGACCAAAATGGACTGTGAATTTGGTAGGGCCCTACTCATTAGCCTTGTTCCCCTTAACCTCCCCAGCCCCGCCACACACATAGTATTACTGTTAAGATATTCAGTAGTCACAGCAGAATACAATGTGCATGAGATCCGGGCACAAAGAAGAGCTTAAATTCTCAGAGACTTTCCTGGAGCCCCCTATGCTTTACCCCCATTTATGACTCCGGGCTTCAGCTGCGGGGTGAGGGGTCTCGGGGCCCTACTGGGGGGCTCCAGGACTCAAGGCTTAAGCTGTGTGGTGGTGGGACGCTGGGACTTTAGCCCCACAGTGGGGGTGGGGGGATCACCAGGGTTTGAGGCTTCAGCCATGTGTTGGGGGTGGTGCTGGGACTTTAGCCCCATGGGGGTGGGGGACACGGGCTCAGCGTTTCAGCTCCACGGGGCATGCCGAGGCTCCTACGGGTTTGAAAATATTGACCACAGCTCCAGCTAAATTTAATCCCTGGTACAAAGCATTTCCCGGGCGAGAGCATCTGCTCCACAGTGACCTTCCAGAGGAGGTTAGACTAATCCAGGTCTGACCACCATTAGGAAACACAAACATACCTTCCTCTTGGACAGAACTTCTCCACCAAACCCAGGACAACATTCACAGTGTCAGCCAGCCCCTTCTACCTCCTCCAGTGCTCCCCCGACCAATAAACTAAGAGAAAACGCTGCTCCAAAGAAGAGAGAGGAGCCAGAGACTCCAGGAAGTCCCCCAAGAGACCTCATCATTGCCAAATTCTTTTAGATGGAAAGTTGTCAGGTACTAGGGTCAGCACAAAGCTCTAAGATACATAACTAGACAGCATTGGGTCTTACCAACATTACAGCATAGATTGAATTACCTGAGGGATGTCCATCAATGTGTGAGCGCAAAGGTAAGTCACGGTGATCAGCAGAAATGTCATCCTCACCTGGGGGACAGGAAGAAAATTCCACGAGAATCTCAACATCAACCAAGAGAAATGCCTGCCCTGACTCCCTTGTTCCAAGGTGATTGGGGTCATCTATGGAGAATCCCCTGAGCCACCGCAGGAGAGGAGAGCAGGAACCCTTGTAAACAAGCAAAGACCTTTACAGGCTGGGGCAAGAGTTGGGCAAAAGCTTTCCTTTGTTTCTTTTTGAAGTTAAAATACAGACGTTTCATTTCCTTACAACTAAATTTTCAGAAGTCACGAGTGATTTTTAGCAGTGTAACTTGAGACACCTTCAGAGCACACACACCCCCTCGGAGATCTGACCCCTTTCAGTTCTTTTCAGTCGGGTCTCCAAAAATCGTGGCCCCCAAATCACGAGCCGCTCTTAAAACCCTAGGTCTGAGGGAAGAGACAAGCTTGACCTGTCGCCATGCTTCCCCCCAGGGGGCTTACCCCAGGGATGGACTTGACCCAAAGAGTTAAAGATGTGACTATACCTGCAGGTCCAAAGGCTGGATGGCCCTGGGAGTGAAGCTCAGACCAAGGGACTCGCTCTCTTATACTGTGTTGTCCCTGCAGAGACTGTTCCTGTGAGTCTATGCACTTCTTCCCCACCCTCAGACAGGAAACCACCTCGCTGCCTTTCACAGCCTTCTGTTTGTCATGGGGGAGAGAGATCACATTGACCAGATTCCAATACACCTGGGAGCCCAGCCAGCACTATGCAGGACATGCCAGCGTCCCGGCGCTGCCCAGCCCGGCCCCTCAGAACTTCATGGCAACACCGGGGACAGAACTCAGATCCTCCTGCTCCAAGGGGCGGATCCGACAGACACCCATTGCAGCCCCTGGGAGCCTTCCCATTGATTTAAAGTTTGGGGCCCCCCAGGGCATTCCAGCTGGGAGTAGCAATTGCTGGCAGTCAGGTCTGTTGATTTCCAAAGACTGTCCCAAGTCCTGTGTCTGCGAACGCACAAGGAATCAAACAGCACGAAACAATTTCTTTGGCTTGCAGCACCAAAAATGCTCCTTGCAGCCCATACCCAGGACCCAAAATCCTCTCTTTGGGTTTCTACCAGGATCTGCTACCCGGCTTTCAGCTGCTCCTTTAGACTGTCCCTCTTCCAGTCTTCTTGTCTGCTCTCAGTTTCTTGCCCTCCTGCACACACAGCTGACCCCAGGTCTCCTAGCCCTTGATTGGCAGGCAGGGAGACTCCCTCAGTCCATATGGGTTAGCTGCCACCTGCCACACAGCTTCATGCCTTGGGCAGTTCCCCCATCATCCTCAGCTGTTTCTCCTCCCTAAAGAGGTCTGCCTGCTCTTGCTGTCAGCGTGGGGGTGCTCAGCACCCATTGGCTTTAACGAGGTCCGTGGTTGTCTCTGATCCGAGACCCAGATGATGGCAGCCATTCGCATCTTTCAGTGTAACAGTTTCAATATTTACAAGTCCTACCTCTGCCCCCTAGATGGCCAAGCCCTGCCCACTCAGGCCTGCTTGACACGACGCAGTTGGGTCAACGTAAGGTGCGGTGCAGCCACCTATTCCTGAACAGCAAAGAGGAAGGCGAGAGATGCAGCAGGGGGTTCCACCAGACCGGTCTGAGACTCTGTCACAGTCTAGCCAGCTGAGCACGGATGACCCCAGTGAAGGGGAAGGCAAGTGTGCGTGTAACGCTGGCAGACCCCGGTCGTCATCAGCGAGGATCAAATGTGGGATCTCTGGAGCTTAATGCAGGTGCCTTTACGGCACGATCTAACGACCCATGTCACTTAGCCAACGCAGTAGCAGGCTCATCAATCACTAGTTGGTCTAGCTGCCACTAGAGGGAGACAGAGCGCCCACCAAGCAGGCCTGGGTTACATGTACATACGTTTTTCCTTGCAAGGTTTAAAATTAAAGAGGCACACGGGATCCCAGGAGATCATAGGGGTGGCAGCTGTGATGGTGAAGTTCGCTCCAGCCCCTTCTTTCAGTCAGCCAGTGTCACGGTAGCCACCACAGTCTTTCCCCCACAACATCTTGTGGCAGGCCCCAAAAGGGAACTGGTGGGTGGAATAGCCCATCCATCATTGTTTGGTCCATGAACTAAGCCTAATTTACAACACACCAATTCTGGTTCATCGGTCCCACACTTTTCTTGTTTACCAGGCATGATCTTCACACAGCCTTTGAATTATATCAGGACACCTTTTTGTTTAGACTAATTCGGCGTGTGTCCCTTTGGCACCTTTTCCCATTAACATTTGTTGCTCTCAGTTGTTCTTACGTCTCTTGACCTTTCTCAAAGTTGAGATCACGGTCTAGGTAAATTTCTAAGCCCAAGTATCACAACATGTATCAATGCAATTTGTTATCAATGCAACAGAGCCCACTCAGAATGACAGGGCCAGATTCTATCGATCGTAAGGTCTCCTCCCGCTGCTCATCGCGTGAGCGCATCCCTCATAAAAGTGAGGTAATAGTGAAGTCCCTAGTGGCTTTCATGGAGGCTCTGTCTCTTCATCTGCTGCTCTAGCTCACATCTTCACAGATTTGAAGGCCAGACGGGAGCATTTGATCAGACTCTGACCTGTGACGCTACATACAGAGTCTCACCCGGTGATTCCTGCATTGAGATCAATCACCTCTCTTTGAGCTACAGCATGTCTTTTAGAGACACATCCAGGCTCCATTT